TGTTCTCTGTCTCTCCATTGTCCAATCCCATTTCCAACCTCCTTCGACCCAACAACTTCCAAAAAAAATAAGAAAAGACTTTGGCCCATCCGCCGCCGCCACTACAGCACTTGTTCTTTTTTTCTTTTTTTTTGATAAGAACAGCACTGTTCTTTGTCATTGAAAGGGTTAAAACCAACTGCACTCCTCGTACTTTGTAAAAAATTCATATACAAAAGTATCATTAAAATATTTTTTTATTTTAACAAAGAGTTAATAAATATTGTTAGTGGATAAAAAATTAATTAAAAAAATTAAATGTTTGACCGTTAATTACAATTAATAGCAAAATGAATGGCATCCAATTAAGGATGACATCCAATTAATAGCAAAAAACACTAATTTAGAGCAAACCCAGATTAGTGTGGGTAAAAGAAAACTCTAATGAACAGAATGAAAAATCAAATCTTGCTACGTGCTTCAACGAAAGCTCTCAATATGCAACAATGGGGATAGAAAAGCGAAAATCAAGCTATGAAATTGCAAGAAATGTTGAATTGAAATCAAATAGGAATTATGGCTGAGAATTCAAAATAATGAGTAAGAGATAAATCAGAGAGGGAGATAAATATAGAAGAAATTTGGGTTTGCAGAGGGACCATTTTGGGTTCCTTCTCAAGCCGTTCCTGCTTCTAACAAACGCAAACTCGGAGCAGACAGAATCGAACCCAAGGTGAAAGCTTAGAGCGAATTGACAATGGCGGTAACCGTCTCATCTCCATGGGGCAAGCCTACCGCCTGGGCGCTCGACGCTGAAGAACATGAAGCCGAACTCCAACAGTTGAAGGACCAACTAGCCTAGCGCCTGGGCGACGGCCACCAGATCTGGGAATTCCAGCATGCAGCTCGGTAGATTTGCGTGAGGGAGCAAGGAGCCGCGAGACCTGCAGGCAAGCGGGCAACACACAGAAACAGGAAACAAAGAAAACAAACAGAAAAAAAAAAACCCAAAAAAGGCACCCGAAAGGCCTAGTCGCCGACAGACCTCATGGGGTCATCGGAGCAGAGAGCAGGCCGGCTCCATCAGGCTTGAGCAGTCGAAGAACCCGGCGGCTCAAGCAGCAAAACTCGGAAGCCCAAGGTCAGAGTGGACATGCCATCGATTGTCCTTACTGGGTTGAAAGAACCCAGATCTGGGTTTGAGAGGAAGAAGAAGAGGGGAAGAGAGGAGATAGAAAAAGAATAAAAAAAGTTAAAAAAAATAATGTGGGCCCATTAAAAGGAAAAGTTTAAAAGGTGATAATATGATGTGTAAAAAAATATATTACGTGTAAAAAAAAAACATGACATGGTAACAAAATTTTCATAGTTGGATTTACACGTCATTAAAATTTAAAAAGTCTAATGATTTGCTGACATTTTAACGAGCCACCTGTTATTTAACTGTTATTTAACTGATGGAATGACTATTTTGGTATCGAAAATGAAAGTTTAAGGATAATTTTGATATTTTTTAAAGTTGAAGAATAATTTTGATACCAAAGCGAAAAATTGAGGAACCAAAATGGTACTTACACTATTTTTTTACAAACTCAATATGATCAATATTAAAACTCTTACATTTATTT